GAAATGTTATATTGCCATCATGACATTAGAATTATATCATCTTTGGAATTTGTGGACATTTTTAGTGAAATTAAGTTTAAATTATATCAATTTAAAGGAAAAACTAAATTTTTAGTGTTTTTTAGGTTTTATCTTTGTTTTAGGTTAGTTCTATGAACTGTAGTTCTTATGTAGTTAGTTGCATTAAGATCGAAACCATTAAGTTAGCCCTAACTTAGTTTTATATATGAGTACTTCCAATTTTCGCAATGATCGGAATTCATTTGACCCTAGTCCCCAAAGTCGACTTCAGCAAATGACTTGAAGGTCAAAATTCACCTATAAAATCTAATATCACGATGAAATTCTGTATAAATAAATTTAAAGTAGACATAAATTCCTCCACCAAAATTAATAATGAAGACCATGCCCCCATATAACCCCTCATTTAGAAAATCCCTTTTTTTATACCCTCCACCACCATCAGTGGTGATAGAGGGTATATATAACTTTGTCATTCCGTGTGTAACACCAAGAAATATTCATCTGAGACCCAACAAAGTATATATATTCCGGGTCCTTATGAAATTCTGAGTCGATTTAGCTATGTCCGTCTGTCCGTCCGTCCGTCCGTCTGTCTGTCTGTCTGTCTGTGTAAAACACGCTCACGTTAAAACGAAGCAATATAATTTAACCAAATTCACTCAAAATATTCATTATTATCCGGTACAGTTTGGTATTGAAAATGAGCAATATCGGTTCACATCGGGAAAAGTTATGAATCAAAATTTAAAACAACCTCGAAAAAAATAAGCATTTTTTACACATTCTAATGTAATTTTCTCCAAAACTATGCAAGATAATTCCATGAAAATCACCATACATTCGTTTCTACACAAGATCTTGAACCGTGCAGAAAATTGCCAGAATCGGTCCACAATTTCATATAGCTCCCATACAAAAGTACATATTCCCGGAAAACGGGTTTTTCGTTAATAACTTCCATCACAGTGTAGATATCTTCACAAAATTTTACATATTAAAATCTTATGTCAATAGAATTCTTTCAGAGAAAAATTTTCTGGATCGGTCCATAATTGGACATAGGTCCCATACAAGGTCCCCTCCCGAAAATCACTTAAACGCGCATAACTCATTACTAAATTAAGGTATCCATATAAAATTTGGTATAAGTATTGCCCATATGCATAGAAATATTACTGTAAAAGCTTTTTCCGATCGGTCCATAATTGGTCATAGCTCCCATACAAGGTCCCCTCCCGAAAATCACTTAAACGCGCATAACTCATTACTAAATTAAGGTATCCATATAAAATTTGGTACAAGTATTGCCCATATGCACAGAAATATTACTGTGAAAGTTTTTTCCGATCGGTCCATAATTGGTCATAGCTCCTATACAAGGTCCCCTCCCGAAAATCACTTAAACGCGCATAACTCATTACTAAATTAAGATATCCATATAAAATTTGGTATAAGTATTGCCCATATGCATAGAAATATTACTGTGAAAGCTTTTTCCGATCGGTCCATAATTGGTCATAGCTCCTATACAAGGTCCCCTCCCGAAAATCACTTAAACGCGCATAACTCATTACTAAATTAAGATATCCATATAAAATTTGGTACAAGTATTACTCATATTCACAGAAATATTACTGTGACATTTTTTTCCGATCGGTCCATAGTTGGTCATAGCTCCCATACAAGGTTCCTTCCCGAAAATCACTTAAACGCACATAACTCATTACCAAATCTTGATATCCATACATTTAGCAAAAATATTGCTCTTATATACATAAATTACACTATAAAGTTGTTTTACGATCGGTCCATATTTGGTCATAGCTCTCATAGTAGGTCCCCTCCAGAAAATCACTTAAATGCACAATATTCATTATATAAATACAAAATTTTGAAATTTTGTCTTTATATACATAATTGGTCATAGCTCCCATACAAGGTCCTTTTACGAAAATCTCCTAAAAGCACATTTCTCATTACCAAATAAAGCCATTGATACAACATTTGGCGCAAATAATAGTTTTGTATACAAAAATTATATTTCAAGATTTTTTCTCGATAGGTTCATAACATGGTTGCGGTGGGTCCCATTCAAGTGTCCCTTCAGAAAATCACTTGAACACACATTACTTATTACTAAATTACGATATAGATACAAAATTTTACTGAAATATAGTTTGTACAGAAATTTTGCTTAAAGAATTTTTACGATCGGTCTATATTTGGTCATATCTCTCATGCTAGGTCCTGCCCCTAAAAACGCTTTAACCGTATTTAACAATTTGCATTATCAATTTGTGTAGAACAAAATTATATACCTATATGTATGTATTTTGAAAATCCTTAAATCTTTCACACACATGCATACATGCAAATACTAAATATCGCTAAAGCATATCTTATGGCGCTATAAAAATTTAAAAGAAAGTGGCGTTTCTAATGTTCAATAAATCTTGGAATTGTAGTAGATTTAAGCTGTTTAAACCTTGGGATTTTTCTATTTAAGACATGAGAAAACTTATTTCTACAAATATTTTATTAATTAATACAAAAGTTGCTGGTGGAGGGTATTTAAGATTCGGCTCAGCCGAATATAGCACTCTAACTTGTTTGGTCAACAAATTGTTAATTTTTTCTGGAGAAAGGTAAAAATCAAACTTAATGCATTATTATTAAAAATAACTCACATTTTAAAGATAATCACTGGTGTAGGGTATCATATGGTCGGACATGCCCGACTATACATTCTTAATTGTTGAACAATATATTTTTGGCTCACTTGATTATTGTATTGTAGTCTACAATACTGAGTATTAATACTTGTCAAAAATATTTGTATCATAATACAATTTACTAGTCTAAATATTATTTGTAATTTGATTTTCAAAAATATTACTGATTTTTTTGGCATACGGTCGGTATTCATAAATTTTTTAAAACAATTCAAAACCTTTTTATTTTCAAACGTATTCGGTATGTATTTTATAAATACAATAAAAAACAAACAAAAAGTGTAAAATACATTAAAAATAAGAACGAAAAGTGCATAAATAATTGAAAATTGGATAAAAAATATTACAAATGTTATAGTGTAAACATAAAATGTATTTTTCGGATTGATTTTTTGAAAATGCGAATTATTTTCATAATATTTTTAATTTGAAGTGTGTTAATACTCAGTATTGTAGTCTGAAAATACCTTAACTCTTACCACGAGTTCCAATCAAACATTTTATTCATTACTCATCCATATACGAAAATATCGCAGTTTATTATTACATTTTTAAGCTCAGGGCTCACTAAGCGTGGCAACATATACTCTCAAAAATTAAAAATATATGGTCTATTCTGCAGTCTAGTCCATAGTTTAGTCTAGTCTATAATCTAGTATTATAGTATTCTATACTTTAGTCTATAGCCTTCAATAGTCCAGTCTACAGTCTAGTCTATAATCAAGTCTATAGTCTACCCTATAGTATAGTCTATAGTATAGTTTAGTTTATAGTCTAGACTATATAGTCTTGTCTATAGTCTAGTCTATAGTCTTGTCTAAAGTCTAGTCTATAGTCATGTCTATAGTCAAGTCTATACTATAGTCTATAGTTTAGTCTATAGTCTAGACTATAGTCATGTCTATAGTCAAGCCTATAGTATAGTTTTTAGTCTAGTCTGTATTCCAGTCTGTAGTCTAGTCTTTAATCTACACCATTTCAAGTTTAATTTGAGAAAACCCAAAGTTATATTGTGAAATACCAAAATTAATTTTAGAAATCCAATTTAATATTGAGACATACCAAATTAAATTTAGGAATCAAAATTGATATGAAGAAAAAACAAATTGAAATTTGAATTTTCAACTTAATGTTGAGAAAAAACCAATTGATATTGAGAAGTCGAAATTAATATTGAGATAATACGAATTGAAATTGACAAAATACAAAATTATATTAAGAAAACCTTATTTTGTATTGAAATTTATATTATTTTAAATCCATATCCTATTTAAACATTTTATAAGAAAAATATTTTCATACAAATATTAAATTTCTCATTTTCATTTATTAATTTCTCAATTTCAATTTGTAATTTCTTAACATAATGTTGGGATTCTGAATTTCAATTTGTTTTTTCTCGATATGAATTTGGATTTCTTAATTTAATTCTATTATTTCTCAATTTCAAATGGGGTTTTCTCAATATTAATTTAAATTTCTGAACTTTAATTTGAATTTTCTAAATTTTAAATTGAAATTCTCAATATGAGTTTGTATTTTCTCAATTTAAACTTGAAATGGTGTAGTCTATAGTATAGTATATAGTCTAATATATAGTATAGTCTATAATCTAATATATAGTCTACTCTATAGTCTAGTCAATAGTATAGTCTTGTCTAAAGTCTAATCTATAATCTAGTCTAGTCTGTAGTCTATTCTATAGTCTAGCATATAGTCTAGTCTATAGTCTTGTTTATAGTCTTGTTTATAGTCTAGTCTATAGTCTAGTTATAGTCTAGTCTATTGAGTCTAGTCTATAGTCTAGTCTATATTCTAGTCTATAGGCTAGTCTGTGATGTGAAACATCCAATTTTCAGTTACAAACATTTCTCAGTAGTTTTATATGCTGAACAGGAATACATAATTTTTATGATTGATTTTAATTAAATTCAAAATCCATTGAATTTGCTATATTTCAATTAGAATAAAATTACTTTTTGTAAATTCTAATTCGCAGCATCCAATATAAACACAAAATCCATTATCATCGCTAATATCTATTCTATATCTATTTTTAAAACACTGTTCCTTAAAAAAGTTCTATACGGAAAATTAAACCAAATATTAAATCATGTTTTCTAATTATAAATCCAACTCAAGATCTAATAATACGAGATTACCTAGGTACACGTGCGGACCTATATAATCTATGGACATTCAGATTACTAATTGATTAATACTAATAATAATAAAAACATTCAATAGTTTATGTAAAGAAAGACTTCTTTAGTGTATTCCATATAAAAAATGAATCTAATTCATTCATTCATTAATAAAATAAATACATTGGAATTGGAGAAGCTATTGATATCACCATACACTTTTTTCAAACTTGGGGTTTATCCTTATAAGATAAAGTTCCTTTTTCATTTCATAAAAACAACACGAATCCAACGTTGTATCCTCAAATTAAGCCACATAAATAGTATAGGAGAAATTAGTTGATACTTCTTAAGCTTTTTTCAGAACGAAAAAGTATTTTTTATTGTTTTTTGTTTTTTTTTCTTGTTGTTAAAAAATAAAATTTGAAAAAATTATGATGAGGCAGCAAACTAAAACATCACATTTATTGAGGCTTCCTTCTGAAAGAGCAACCTGTAGAAAGGCGAATGACAATAATCAGTAAAAATTGAAATAGGATTAAAAGCAACAATAAAACTTACCTTCTGTGAGCTTAGCACGGCCACCGGTAGGCTGGCACAAGATGGTAGCACATCCAGCACATACAACAACGCCTTGAGCGTGGCTGAAGACAGTGGTGATTCTGTAGCAGCCGGGGCATTTGACATCCATGAAGTAGGAGTTGGGATGTTGCACCAAGCGCTTCAACTTGTGTTTGCGCTTTTCTTGAGCGGGCAAAGGATGCAATAAATCTTTGGCTAGCTAAAAAGAGACAACAAATAAAATACACATTATTTTAAGGCCAAAACAAATAAAAAAACACACCTTAATTCAGTCATCTAACTGAATATAGTAAGAAAAAAAAACACTAACAAAAAAATTGCAAAATTTTGTATTTCGAGGTTAGGTGTTGCTGTTTTTGGCATTTTAACAATTAGCATTTTTTCAATTAAAATTTTTCGAATACACTTTTCACAAAATAATTGCAACATAACATGAAATTGTTGTCTTCAAGCCACATTTTTCTGCTTTTCCATTTGTCAAATCGAAGCATGTGTATATTCCCTCTCTTTTACTCTTCTTCATTAACACACAATGAGTTTTACACGTTCACTTGAGGTTTTTGCTTAATTTTTACACTTTTTTCACATTTTACAACTTTCTTCAGGAGTTTTTCTTATTCCTTGGCTTTTGTAAATATTTTTCACACATTTTTAACGCGTTTTTGCAATTTTTTCGTCAGTTTTTTAGGTTTTTTCATAAAATTTTCACCCACCGGCATGTTTATTCTTTCACAGCTAACACGGAAAAGGAAGTAGAAAATGGACGCGTGAAGTTAGATGTAGTTTAAATAGTTGACAGTTCTACATACACTTAACAGTGACATCTTGTGTTGAGTAGCAAGCAGAGTTGTATTTAACCCACAACTAAGGGGTAGTTCATATATTTATATTATTTCTTTATAATTTTATTACATAAAAATAGCATTTAGTTTATAATTTAATAACTTTTTAGACTGTAAATATATGTAATGAAATTTTTAGTATCTATTTTAATAAAAAGTTTCTACTTTTTGTTAATATTTTATAATAAATATTTATTATATTTTACTACAATTTTCCGTGCACCCTGTTCTCCAATTGATGAAATTCCTTAAGCGTTACCAGATGTTTGTAAATTATGAATTTCATAAAATTAGTCAATTTTTTAATAAATGTATTTCAAAATATGTTTATTTATGTATTTTACTAATGTATTTCATTATATGAGATATTTAAAGTAAAAACTTTTAATATACATTTTAATAATTTGTTTTTGTAAATATTTTATAATATAAATTTTTTATAATAACAAAATATTTAGCAAATGGTTCAAAGGTTAAAGAATGGTTTGAAAAACTAGAATCATATTAGAGTTCTATAAATCGATTTTTTTAATATTCTACTTTTTGTAGGATAAATTTGAAATAAGTCGAAAAATGTTCAAAAAACAATTTCCTGAAGTTTTAGAAAAAAATTAAAAAGCTTTTTTAAATTTATCTTCATGAATTTTTATGAATTTAATGTATAGTCGAGCATGGCCGACTATATAATACCCTACACCAATGAGTAGTATGTCAAAAATGTGGATTATTTTGACTAATAAAATATTTAAGTTGTTTTTTCGTTTTTTTTTAATTCCGAAATATTTTATCAATTTGTTGACAAATGGTTCAAGGGACCTAAACTTAAAAATGTTAGTGGAGTGATTTATATTTACATTAACGTTATTTATGCCGCATTTCATTATGATCAAATTAGGCCCAATCATTACGGAAATCGGTAATATCTACCTGTTAAACTATAACCAGAGAATGAGATTATGGGCCTTAGACTTATATAGTATTAAGTTGTGCAGATTTTAGAGATATATAGAGATACTATAACATTTAACATAATTATGAGCTCAAGAGCTCTATTCGGGGGGTACGGTTTTATGGGGGCTAGGTGAAAGAATGGTTCGATTGCAACAATTTTCAATACGATTCATCCTTGAGAAAAGTATGTGCCAAATTTCATTAATTTACCTTGAAAATTGAGACCTGTAGCCTGCTTACAAGGTATTCATGGAAATTAAACAAATATAGTTGAACATTTTTCTGAATGAAATTTTTTTTTAAAGAATTTAATATTTTTAAGTGAAAACTAGAATTTTTGTAAAAAACTGATTTTTATCGATTTTTTTTTTTTTTTTTTTTTTTGAAATGACGATTTTGTGATTAAAAGTGAAATTTCTAATTATTTTTAATTAAATGTATATTTTTTAGTATAAAGTTAATTCTTATAAATTTTTATCATAATTTTTTATTCATTTCGTTTCATTCAGTTGAAAAACAAAAGTACCAAAAAATTCACTCCTATAGATTTTCATTCCATCAGGATCCTATACATATGTCTTATTTAAGTTTCTAGATTCAATAAATCAGAAAATTAAAAAAGTACCAACTGGCGAAAAAGTAACAGAAAGTTCCAAGAATGCCAAAAAAACCAAAAAGTACCAGCAATTCTTTCCTACAGATTTCCATTCACACTCAGGACTCTGATTGTTTAATTTTATGTTTCAAGATTCAATAAATCAGAAAATTAAAAAAGTACCAATTGACGAAAAAGTACCAACAATTATTTTCAACAGATTTCCATTCACACTCAGGATTCTAATTATATAATTTTAAGTTTTTAGGTTCAATATTATAGAAAACTCAAAAAGTACCTTTTGAAGAAAAAAAAAAGTACAAAAAAGTCCCCTTTTATACATATATTCTCATTTAAACCGGGATCCACATGCTTAATTCCATGTTTCTAGGTTCAATATTATAAAAAACAAAAAGTACCAGTTGAAAAACGAAAAAGTACCAAAAATAGTTCTTTGAACCGGAGTTACAAATAACACCCCATTAATGTTATTAAATATACAAATATTTAAAAGTTTTATCAAAATTAGCACAATGAGTTTAAATAATATCAAATTTCTCGTTCTCACCCCTTCTTGGTACTTTTTACCACTCCATTGATGAAAAATACAGTTTTTACCCGTTTACTACCTAAAAAACCCGAATTTTAAAAATAGTACCAATCCTCCTATTTCTTAAATGTACATATAAAAATCAGTATTTAAATTGCGTTCTACCCTTTTAGTTTAGGAGATATGAGGTTATCAAATTTACCGGTTTTTCCCTTGTTCTCCCCCTTAATATTAGAATTTCCGAAAATCTTTTTGTTGTGAAACCAATTGTTTAACCAAATAACAACTTTCTAGCTTCAACCGTTTGGTAGTTGGATATGTCAGATCTGGCATCCCTTTAACATTAGTAAATCAAACAAACTGCAGCCAACTTCACTTATATTGATAAACAAATGTTAACATAACATTTTAATGTTATTACAGCATTGCCAGATGCAACTAAAATACACAGTTGTGAAAAAGTAGTAGTTTTAAATTACAAAGAAAAACCGTCATTCAGTCTGTCAGGAAAAATTTTCCTATTCGCACGGAGTTTTAAAAGTATCATTAAAATTTAAGAAAATTTTGAAATTTTTGTTAAATAAAAGGTAAGTGGCTAATAAAATGGTGTATATAACAATTAGTGTCATAAGAAAAACTTGAAAAAAGTGAATTTAACTAAAAAAGAAAGTAAATTTAATTTTTTTTTAAAAATGTTAATTTTTTGGATTTTTTTTAAATTAACTATTTAAATGTGTTTACAGGACATGTCTTCAGCAGAATATAATACAACTTATGCAGCACCAGATATGTTGCAATTGAATATGGAAAATATATCGAAAGAACTGAACGATTTGATTGTTACTGGCGAACAAGAGTTTGGAATGACTCAACAATTTCCGGCAGCAGCAAGTAGTAATGGAATGGCCAATGTAGCAACTGTAATGCAAAGTAATTTTCAAGTACCAGCTTATTCCAAGCCCAATTTTCAGCTTCATCAGCCCTTTGCGGCAAATGGAATGCAATTTTTGAAACATAACCTCAATTACTTTGGCGCCCTACAGCAGTCAATGACTTTTGCAAATAATACTTACAACAACTTTGCGGCCAGTCAAACAACTTATACACCCTCATATGCCTTCTTAAAAACTGGAAAGAATTTTGGTCATTCCACTCTTGGGTCATCACAGGTTCTAAATACTAATGTCACTGAAACACCCACTTATGAGTTTCATTATTTACGTTCTAATGGTGAACATGAAAAGAAGTTTTCTGCTTCTTGCACCTCCTTGGGTAGCACGGGTGTTTATCGTAAAATACCCCGTTTTGCTCATAAACATTTTCAACAAAAACTAACAAATGCAGTCACAGAAAATGATCACATTATGCTAGACTTGTCCCTCATAGATTTGTCGAATAATAAGTAAGTTTCCCTAAATACTAAAACTCCAATATCTTCTGACTAATCCTTCATTACAGCAATGATAATTCTACTGTACGTCATCTTTTCGAACTTTTACGTGATTTACATTGTGCCTTGGCCGAAACACCACCCTCTTCGGAGGCAAATGAAAATAGTCAATATGTTGAAACATTTGCTCCCGCTGATGCCAAGAAATCCGCTATGCCTTCTACTCTAAATGTTCAGAATCAAGTAAAGCAAGCCTGTCGCAAATTGTCCATTTTCATTTGTGACATGCAGCGTCTTTTGGGCGCCAATAAAATGTTTGATCTTCAAATGCATGCCGAATGTGAGTTCTATTTGAGTACTTTGCGTCAATATTTGAATCAATTGGAATTGTATAAATCTATTGAAATGGAACACAAGAGAGGACAGTTTTTGAAGGACAAAATAAAAGGTAAGTGGAGTTTTTTGTTGTTGTTGTTGAAAATATAGCTAACACAATAGGTATTGAATAAAATAACAATCTATATAAATACATATGTATGTATATAAAATTCTAACATTATTGACCCACTGACTGACTGTAAAGCTAGAAAGTTGAAATTTGGTCAGGTGATTGGTCTCATAACAAATTGATCTACTAACATGGACTTTTTAGAAATTCAAATATTTAAATTAAAAAAAGGCACAATAAAACGTTAATAATGTTATACATACATATGAAATAAGCGGACAGGAATTGTAACAGCGATACCAAGGACTAATTTTGGTACTTTGTTGGTTCTTCAACAGGTACTTTTTGAGTTTTTTTTTTAATATTGAGCCTAGAAACATAGAATCCTTAGTAAAGTGGAATCTTTAAGAGCGGACTTTTAGACATTTTTCGTTTTTCAACTGGTACTTCTAAATTTTCATTAATATTGAACCAAGAAATATAAAATTATACTTTTAAGTGAATGAAAATCTACAAAAGAGCATCTTACCCAACTAGTACTTTATAAGCTTTGTTTTGAATTTAGGAACCTGAATTTAAACATGGAGATTTCTGAGTAAATGAGAATATATATATATTATTTTAAAGCCTTAAAGGTCTTTTTTGTACTTTTTGATTTATCTGCAATGTGTGTGTTTTGTACTTTTTGTTATTCATCTGGTACTTTTTACAATTAAATTGTTAACGTATGTATGTATATTAAAACCTTCCGTATTCCACCGAGTTGGTGATCGCTTCCATGCTATATTGAAGTGACTATTAATTCAGTGGGAACTGCTGATGGCACTGCGGTGCCCCTTTTATCCCTTTTTAATTGAAAACTACCCAATTTGGAAAGCAGTTCTGTCTTCAGGCGAGTAAGTGATTTCCTCCTCGCTTTTAGGATTTGACTCCTCCTTATCCCGTACCAGTACTGGCTAATGATGCTGTGTAGTATATAGATCCAGTATACGCTGATTAGCCAGTCTACTGCTCTATCCTTTTATATATGCAGTGGACTTTAAGAGCACCGGAAGCTCCCTTTTGTGAAATGAGAACCTTACCAACATCACGCCCAAGCTGAATTCGTTAGTTATTTAGTTAGTTTGTTAGTTTGTTAGTTAGTTAGTTAGTTAGTTAGTTAGTTAGTTAGTTAGTTAGTTGGTTAGTTAGTTAGTTAGTTAGTTAGTTAGTTAGTTAGTTAGTTAGTTAGTTAGTTAGTTAGTTAGTTAGTTAGTTAGTTAGTTAGTTAGTTAGTTAGTTAGTTAGTTAGTTAGTTAGTTAGTTAGTTAGTTAGTTAGTTAGTTAGTTAGTTAGTTAGTTAGTTAGTTAGTTAGTTAGTTAGTTAGTTAGTTAGTTAGTTAGTTAGTTAGTTAGTTAGTTAGTTAGTTAGTTAGTTAGTTAGTTAGTTAGTTAGTTAGTTAGTTAGTTAGTTAGTTAGTTAGTTAGTTAGTTAGTTAGTTAGTTAGTTAGTTAGTTAGTTAGTTAGTTAGTTAGTTAGTTAGTTAGTTAGTTAGTTAGTTAGTAGGGTTCTATAAATCGACTTTCGAATAATCGAACAATCAACTTTTTGTCGAAAAAAGTCGAAAAGTCGAAGTCGACTATTTTGTTCCAAAAAAGTCGATAACTCGACTATCGTCTATGAAAAAAGTCGAAAAGTCGACTTTGTAAATAAAAGTCAAAAAAAGTCGAAAAGTCAAAAAAATCGGAAAGTCGAAAAAAATCGAAGAAAGTCGAAAAAAGTCGAAAAAAGTCGAAAAGTCGGAAAAAGTCGATAAGTCGGAAAAAGTCGATAAAAGTCGAAAAGAGTCGAAAATTTTAAAAAAGTGGAAAAGAGGTCAAAAACTCTAAAATAGTCGGAAAAACTCGAAAAAAGTAAAAAAATAGTCGAAAATAGTCGAAAAAAGTCGAAATAAATCGAAAATAGTCAAAAAGTCGTAAAAAATCAAAAAGTAGGAAAAAGTCGGAAAAAGTCGAAAAAAGTCGGAAAAAGTCGAAAAGTCGACCATTTATAAAATACTAAAAGTCGAAAAGTCTAAAAGTCGACTTTTAAATAAATGAAAAAAGTCGAAAAATCGACTTTTCATAAAATAGAAAAAGTCGAAAGGTCGAAAAGTCGACTTTTAACTAAATGCAAAAAGTCGAAAAGTCGACTTTTCGTTTCAACTATAGAACCCTATTAGTTAGTTACTTAGTTTATTGACTTTGATTTTTCTAAATTGCCCCACGTCGGTTATTCGTTCAAAGTGAATGTTTCAATAATTAAAATAAAAGCCTAAAAGTAGACAAAAATAAATATATTATGTATTTTGGTGTGAAGATACTGACCCTTTCATGACATCCGCCCACAACAAAATTTATGGTGTTGTTATTTACCACAAACATTCTTTACTCAAAAATAAATAAAGGTTATGATTCCATCTAGCCCCCCTATACGTTGCTCCTGGAATACGGTCTGAACAGTTATAAATTAATTATGCATAACTTTTGTTTTTGTATGCAATAACAAGACAATGAACTATTCATCCAACTTCCATTCCAAAACGAGCTAAAGTTGAATGAAAAATATCAGTATTTAATTAACATTCAAATAACGACAAATTTAAACAATTTCTTCTTCTAACAAATTGCACTTTTATCTATCTATGATCTCATTAACAAGTACAATAACATTTCCTTAAAAACGTTTGCTAATAAACTTATGTATAGAATTAACATAGCATTGCCAATTAAAGTAATAATATTTAACAATTATTAAATGTAAATCTAGCAAATAATAAAAAAAGCAAAACAAATAGAAACAAAAAATCAAAGAAACTTTTTTATATAGCACACGCCGAACGTCTGTCATTATTATTAGAACATATAAATCGGCAAATACGTGAGGTAAACATACGTTTAGTGGCCTTTGATTGGTATATTGGTGTTAAATATCGTGGAGATGTGGCGCTAACTGCAAGTGCATGTGCACAAACTAATGACAATAACCTTAAAGAGAATTCAAAAATTGGAGTGATTAATGAAATTTTACAAATGTGCAATACACCAACAACACCAAGCTCTTTAATACAATCCACAAACAATTTGAATACTCAAATGGAAACCACAACTACAACGACAAAAGCAGAAATGACCAATATCATTATTGAAACTCCCCAAAATAAATTGATTAATAGTAACAAAGAAGAAGAACCGCTATTAAATAACAATAACAATAATAATAACAATATTTTTAATATTTATAAGCCAGACCAGATCAGAAAACTGGCGTCAGCGGTCAATACAACTACACCAACGACTACTTATAATCACAATCGTCATCCATTTTTTTATATTGGTTAAAATGTGACGAGATGAGTTGCAAAATTGATTGTATTTATTTATTAAATTTTTGTTTAATGGTTGGTTTAATTAAACAATAATCATTATATTAGTATTATTTTTTTTTTGTTTTGTTGTGGTTTGGTTTATTAAAATAATAAATTAGTCTGTTATATATATTATTCTTTATCTAGATTTTAAAATTTTATTATAAACAAATTAAATTATTCCTTTGGTTTTTAAATCCACTTTTTAATTGTATTTTTTTTATTAAATAACAATAACAATTGTACTTGTACAAACCTTTTTAAAAAAACACTTTATTTCAACTTTTAATGTTATTCTTTTTATTGTTTTATTAAACATTTTTATAATTTAAAATACTTTTTCAAAACTTATTAAAAATTGTATTATACTTTTGCTAATTATTTTATATATAATTTAATATTTTTTTTTTTAACAATTTATACACCAACAACTTATACGTTTTTTTAATTTCCTAAATATTTATATTATTTGAAATTTTATCTTAAACGCTTTTTTGTTTAATTATTTACAACAAATTGGCATTTCAATTTATACATAACTCTGTCTATTTAACAAAAATTGTTTAAATTTTTTATAAATTTTTTTCATAAGTTTTTGTTATTTATTTAACAATCAATATTTTTCCCTTGATAATTTAACTATTTTCTTAATTGTAAATTTTATTTGTTTTTAATTTAAGATTTGTTTAAAAAAAATTGTATTATTTAAGCTTTTATTTATAAATTTATTTATGTGTTTGTGCGTTGTGTATGTTTTAAATTAGATTTGTGTTTTGGTGTTTATAAGTTTTTTGTTTTAAATGTGTTTTTCAAATAGTTTCCAAAATATTTTTAAACTAGTTTTTAATAGTTTTAAGAAATGTTTGCTTTTGTCTGAAATAATATAACATTTTTGTAACAGATGGAAAGTTTTGAAATATTCCATGTCTGTTTTTCTAGATTCTAGTTTTTGCATTAGTTCTTTAGGATTCGAGTAAATCATTATATTTCTATTCGAATGAATCATATTATTATTTAATAAAAATGGTTCAAAATCTCAGATTTTTAAAAAATTATTTATAAAATTTTCAAGACAAAAAATTTTTTTGATTAAAGAAGAGACTGAGACTGACTAGACTATAGACAAAACTATAGATTAGACTATAGACTAGACTATAAACTGCACTATAGATTAGACTATAGACTAGACTATAGACTAGACTATAAACTATACTATAGACTAGACTATAGACTAGACTATAGACTAGACTATAAACTATACTATAGACTAGACTATAGATTAGACTATAGACTAGACAATAGACTAGACTATAGACTAGACTATAGACTAGACTATAGACTAGACTATAGACTAGACTATAGACTAGACTATAGACTAGACTATAGACTAGACTATAGACTAGACTATAGACTAGACTATAGACTATAGACTAGACTATAGACTAGACTATAGACTAGACTATAGACTAGACTATAGACTAGACTATAGACTAGACTATAGACTAGACTATAGACTAGACTATAGACTAGACTATAGACTAGACTATAGACTAGACTATAGACTAGACTATAGACTAGACTATAGACTAGACTATAGACTAGACTATAGACTAGACTATAGACTAGACTATAGACCAGACCATAGACTAGACTATAGACTAGACTATAGACTAGACTATAGACTAGATTATAGACTAAACTATAGACTAGACTATAGACTAGACTATAGACTAGACTGTAGACTAGACTATAGACTAGACTATAGACTAGACTATAGACTAGACTATAGACTAGACTATAGACTAGACTATAGACTAGACTATAGACTAGACTATAGACTAGACTATAGACTAGACTATAGACTAGACTATAGACTAGACTATAGACTAGACTATAGACTAGACTATAGACTAGACTATAGACTAGACTATAGACTAGACTATAGACTAGACTATAGACTAGACTATAGACTAGACTATAGACTAGACTATAGACTAGACTATAGACTAGACTATAGACTAGACTATAGACTAGACTATAGACTATAGACTAGACTATAGACTATAGACTAGACTATAGACTATAGACTATAGACTATAGACTAGACTATAGACTAGACTATAGACTAGACTATAGACTAGACTATAGACTAGACTATAGACTAGACTATAGGCTAGACTATAGACTACACTATAGACTAGACTATAGACTAGACTATAGACTAGACTATAGACTAAGACTATAGACTACACTATAGACTAGACTATAGACTACACTATAGACTAGACTATAGACTAGACTATAGACTAGACTATAGACTAGACTATAGACTAGACTATAGACTAGACTATAGACTAGACTATAGACTAGACTATAGACTAGACTATAGACTAGACTAATAGACTAGACTATAGACTAGACTAGACTATAGAACTAGACTTTAGACTAGACTATAGACTAGACTATAGACTAGACTATAGACTATAGCTAGACTATAGACTAGACTATAGACTATAGACTATAGACTAATGACTAGACTATAGACTATAGACTAGACTATAGACTAGACTATAGACTAGACTATAGACTAGACTATAGACTAGACTAGAACTAGACTATAGACTAAGACTATAGACTAGAATAGACTAGACTATAGACTAGACTATAGACTAGACTATAGACTAGACTATAGACTAGACTATAGACTAGACTAGACTAGACTAGACTAGACTGTAGACTAGACTGTAGACTAGACTAGACTGTAGACTAGACTATAGACTAGACTATAGACTAGACTAGACTAGACTAGACTAGACTATAGACTAGACTATAGACTAGACTATAGACTAGACTATAGACTAGACTATAGACTAGACTATAGACTAGACTGTAGACTAGACTATAGACTAGACTATAGACTACACTATAGACTAGACTATAGACTAGACTATAGACTAGACTATAGACTAGACTATAGACTATACTATAGACTAGACTATAGACTAGACTATAGACTAGACTATAGACTAGACTATAGATTACACTATAGACTAGAATATAGACTAGACTATAGACTAGACTATAGACTAGACTAGACTAGATTACAGACTACTCCACTCTATAGTCTGTAGTCTATTTGGAGTATTCTATAGTCTAGCCTATAGTCTATTCTATTGTCTTGACTATTGTCTAGTTTATAGTATAGTTTATAGTCCAGTCTATAATCTATTCAATAGTCTAATCCATGGTCTATTGTATAGTCCAGTCTATAGTCTATTCTAAAGCCTAGTCTATAGTTTAATCTATATTCTCGTCTAGTCTATAACTTACTCTATAGTCTAGGCTATAGTGTAGTCTATAACCGAGTCTATAGTCTCATATCTTGCCTATAGTCTAGTCTATAGTGCAGTATATAGTCTATTTTGTAGTCTAGTCTATTGTGTTGTCTAATCTACTGTCTGGTCTACAGTCTAGTCTATAGCCTAGTCTATAGTCTAGCCTAGTCTAAAGTCTAGTCTATAGCCTAGACTATAGTCTGGTATATAGTCGACTCTATAATATAGTTTATAGTCTAGTCTATATTCCAGTACATAGCCCAGTCTATAGTCTATCCTATAGTTTAATTTATAGTCTAGTCTATAGGTTAGTCTATGACCTAGTCTATAGTCTAGTCCATAGACTACTTTATAGTCTAGTCTGTGGATTTGTTTATAGTCTACTTTAAATCCTAGCCTATCTATTTAGTAAGTTTATAATTCATCTAAGATTATTTTTTTAATAATAAAAAAAAAAATATTTTTAATTATTTCAAAAAAGTTAAATTTGCTAAAAGTAATAAATTTAAAAATTATAAAATATTTGAAAAAAAAACTTTTAAAACATTGAACTAAGAGTTCAAATTATTTGTCAATTATAAAATAATGATCAAATATATAAACTAGCTGCGTTTGAATAAAAAAGATTTAATACAATACAAACCATAACAAACACAATAACAAGTTAATTTTGCAAAACAAAAAGACAACAAGTTTTGTGTGAAAACAATTAATCTATAGAGAAATTTAGAATTTCGAATATTCTATTTAGATGCTTAAGTCCAGTAGAATTTAAATAAATTAGTGGCACTTCGTTCAATATAATAATTAACCGTTCGATTAGTCTAAAGTTAATTACCCCAACAATTTCTTGTTTTTTTAAACAAACAAAGAACAAAATGATTAATAAACTTGATTTAATGAAATCCAATTCTGGTTTTCAAATAAACAGTAGTATATTTGGCGCCCTATAAGTAATTTTATATAAAAATATATATAAAATAAAATTTCCATCCAAAAAAAAAAAAAAAAAAAAACACAAAACAAATGTAAATGTTATGAAAAAGTTCTCAACATTTAAACAGAAGTTTGTTAAACAAATTTGTTTAACATTAATGTACTTTTTCTTTAAATTGTAATTGTATTTTTATATTGCAATCATAAACATTAATTGCTATTTATTTTTCTTTGTATTTTAATATTATTTTATGAGTCTATTTAACTTTAAGTTTTCTCAATTATAAGTTTGACAATTAATGATCACCTCGTGTTGTAATTTCATTCAGAGTGTGTGAGTTTTTTAAACATTTTTTGTTACTCTAATTGTAATTGTATATAAGTAATTGTATAATAATAAGATTTAATTGTAATAATTTGCCTGCGTTCTGCATTTAAAGTTTATAATCGCTCTTAATTTTTTAATTGTTTTTATATTTATTTTTGTTATTACTTTTATTACACGCTTATAATTTCACGTTTTACTTTATAAATGATATTTCTTTTGTTTTTATTATTATTATTATTTGTTGGATTTGTTAATGAATATGCATTGCTATGTTAATTTAATATTTAAGTTTTTTTTTTTTTTTTTGCACAATTTTTAGAATCTTTTTCTAAATTATTTTCACATTTAAAGTGTTGAATGATTGAAATAGTTTAAAGGAATTTAATAAAAACTATTTTTTTGCAAAGAGATCATATTTATGTACTTAATTTTAAATGGGAAGAAACGTAGAACGAAAGACTAGTCTATAGAATAGAATATTGATTAGACTATATACTAGACTATAGATTAGAATAAAGATTGGAATACAGATTTGAACATAGATTCAACTATAGAGTGTACTATAGACTTGACTATAGACTAGACTATAGACTAGACTATAGACTAGACTATAGACTAGACTATAGACTAGACTATAGACTAGACTATAGACTAGACTATAGACTAGACTATAGACTAGACTATAGACTAGACTATAGACTAGACTATAGACTAGACTATAGACTAGACTATAGACTAGACTATAGACTAGACTATAGACTAGACTATAGACTAGACTATAGACTAGACTATAGACTAGACTATAGACTAGACTATAGACTAGACTATAGACTAGACTATAGACTAGACTATAGACTAGACTATAGACTAGACTATAGACTAGACTATAGACTAGACTATTGACTAGACTATTGACTAGACTATAGTCTAGACTATAGACTAGACTATAGACTAGACTATAGACTAGACTATAGACTAGACTATAGACTTAACTACAGACTTGACTATAGACTAGACTATAGACTAGACTATAGACTAGACTATAGACTAGACTATAGACTAGACTATAGACTAGACTATAGACTAGACTACAGACCAGACTATAGACTAGACTATAGACTAGGCTATAGACCAGACTATAGACTAGACTATAGACTTAACTACAGACTTGACTATAGACTAGACTATAGACTAGACTATAGACTATAGACTAGACTATAGACCAGACTATAGACTAGACTATAGACTAGGCTATAGACCAGACTATAGACTAGACTATAGACTAGACTATAGACTAGACTATAGACTAGATTATAGACTAGACTATAGACTAGACTATAGACTAGACTATAGACTAGACTATAGACTAGACTATAGACTAGACTATAGACTAGACTATAGACTAGACTATAGACTAGATTATAGACTAGACTATAGACTAGACTATAGACTAGACTATAGACTAGACTATAGACTAGACTATAGACTAGACTATAGACTAGACTATAGACTAGACTATAGACTAGATTATAGACTAGACTATAGACTAGACTATAAACTAGACTATAGACTAGACTATAGACTAGACTATAGACTAGACTATAGGCTAGACTAACTATAGACTAGACTTTATACTAGACTATAGATTTGGCTATAGACTAAACTATAGACTAAACTATGGACTAAACTATTGACTATGGGTACTATAGACTAGACTATAGACTAAACTATTGACTATAGCTACTATAGACTAGACTATAGACTAAACTATGGACTCGACTATAGACTAGACTATAGATTAGACTATAGACTAGACTATAGACTAGACTATAGACTAGACTATAGGCTAGACTATAGAATAGACTATAGACTAGACTATAGACTAGACTATAGACTAGACTATAGACTAGACTATAGACTAGACTATAGACTAGACTATAGACTAGACTATAGACTAGACTATAGACTAGACTATAGACTAGACTATAGACTAGACTATAGACTAGACTATAGACTAGACTATAGACTAGACTATAGACTAGACTATAGACTAGACTATAGACTAGACTATAGACTAGACTATAGACTAGACTATAGACTAGACTATAGACTAGACTATAGACTAGACTATAGACTAGACTATAGACTAGACTATAGACTAGACTATAGACTAGACTATAGACTAGACTATAGACTAGACTATAGACTAGACTATAGACTACTAGACTAGACTATAGACTAGACTATAGACTAGACTATAGACTAGACTATAGACTAGACTATAGACTAGACTATAGACTAGACTATAGACTAGACTATAGACTAGACTATAGACTAGACTATAGACTAGACTATAGACTAGACTATAGACTAGACTATAGACTAGACTATAGACTAGACTATAGACTAGACTATAGACTAGACTATAGACTATACTATAGACTAGACTATAGACTAGACTATAGACTAGACTATAGACTAGTCTATAGTCTAGTCTATAGACTAGATTATAGACTAAACTATAGACTAAACTATGGACTAAACTATAGACTAGACTGTAGACTAGACTATAGGCTAGACTATAGGCTAGTCTTAACTATTGATTAGGCTATAGACTAAACAGCAGACTTGACTATAAATTTAGCAAAAGACTAGACTGTAGTGCTTTGGAGGCTTCTACAAAAGCACATTTAATGAAATAGTAACACCCCAATATTTATAAAAAAATAATTTTATTATAACAAATTAATATAAAAAAAGTATTCCAAATTTAAACAAATAACCTTAAACTATAAATTTAGGGAAATAATGTGTCATAGGGAAATTTGGTTAAAACAGTATTAATCACTTGTTTGGCCACTAAACTCAAGGCCTTGGCAAAACCAGGTTCCAATTCATTATAAATATCACGCCAATTTTCATTCAAGAATTTGTTCATATTATCGCCCAAGGCTTTGTCACCATTGAAGAGATTATCGAATTGGAATTGTACGAGTTGTGGTTTAAATTCCAATTTTACATGTTCTAATTCAGCGTAAGTTTCACCATTTTTCTCGACAGGTTTCAAATCGAAAGAGTATTTAAGTTGAAGATTTTCTGGAATTATAAAAGAGTTAACATTTAGGAAGTTTTGAATGGAAAATAAATAAGATAAATTCATTTATCATTTTAGATTAATTACACTTACTGCAAATGATCGAAGCATCACCATTTCCTACAATGGGCAAAATTAAGACACGTCCATCAACATTGTATTTTCCTTTCAAAACAAATTCCGGCACTAAAGCGTCAATCACGCTGCGTTCTTTAAAATTGAAACCTCTGGAAATTAGATTTGTCAATTAAAAATATTTTACTACAACAATAATCCCAAACAAGTTTCTCACTTGACGGTTTTCACTTGGGCCGTTTTCATGCCAAGCAAATCAAGATCTTTAAATTTCAATTCAAGATTAACAGGACTTGAAGGATTTCTATCCAAAACCAAACTATTTACACGCAATGGATCAAAAGGCAATAGATTCAATTCACGTAAACCACCGGGATATTTGTTCAAAACTTCTTGAGTGGCCCGAGTCAAACAACCGCTATCTCCACGCTGACATCTTGTTATAGCAGCAGCTATTGTAATTAAATAGATCATTTAAAACTCAAATACTTCATTACTTTACTTCTTGAACACTCACGAAAATCTCCCAAAACAGTCGCTATACTTAATACCACAACTAAACACAGTGATTTATACATTTTCGAATTTGTTTTTTTAAAAAAATTTCACCGTTATTCGAATCACTTCACTCCTGTTTTAATATTGAATTAATTATTATACTGTTAACTTCCTTTTATACTTGAGCCGAAATCCAGTAGATTCTGATCTGTATATATTTTTTTTGTTGTTTTTATTGTTTATTTAGAATGTTATTCATTTAAATGTATTTTATTTATTTATATTTTTTTGTTAAATTCAAAAACCTGTATATGAATTTGTGTGTTAATTTTGTTTTTGCATTTCTTGTTCCATCAACTCATCACATCTCTGGTGTTGATTTTTTTCTTAAAAATTGACAACTGTATTTAAAACTCATAATTTGTAATTAAATACAAATATTATTATTGTAGTTTTATTCGATTTTTTTTGTTTTAGTTTGACTTTAGTACTAAGGTTCTGTTAATTTGTTAAAATTTTGAATTAAAGTGACCAGATTTCTTCTAGGTTTCTGACTTTTATAACCGCCATCATTGTCAATACTAACTGAACTTTGATCTTCAGTAATTTGTACAACTACAATAAGTTTGCACGAAACATCTTAAAATTTAAATTTATATATATAGTGCTCTTGTCTATTTTAAAATTGGTAAATTTTTAAACACCCGCTTAATCACGTTTTTAGTCTGTGATTTTTAATTTTGTCTTTATCTCCTACTGAACGTTTTGTACATAGATTCCACAGCCACTTAATAATGGTTCAACGACTTTTATTTATTGGTCAAATTATGCAAATAATTTGCTTTTAGTGTTTTACTGTTTTGCCCATTATTTGTAAAACGAGTCATTTAAAAAAACGAAATTAAAAAAGTGTTCTAAGAAATTATTAAATTTATTAATTAAATATAAAGATATTAACATTTAGTAAAATCAACATTTCAGTTAAACATTGTTTTATTTAAAATAGCTATACCATTTCCAAATAAATTTTAGAAATTGTTTTATAAAGAACTAAAATTGAACTAGAATCTAGAAAAATCTAGAACAGAACTAGAACAAAACTAGAACAGAACTAGAACAGAACTAGAATAGAACTAGAACAGAACTAGAACTAGAACAGAACTAGAACAGAACTAGAACAGAACTAGAACAGAACTAGAACAGAACTAGAACAGAACTAGAACAGAACTAGAACAGAACTAGAACAGAACTAGAACAGAACTAGAACAGAACTAGAACTGAACTAGAACAGAACTAGAACAGAACTAGAACTAGAACAGAACTAGAACAGAACTAGAACAGAACTAGAACAGAACTAGAACAGAACTAGAACAGAACTAGAACAGAACTAGAACAGAACTAGAACAGAACTAGAACAGAACTAGAACAGAACTAGAACAGAACTAGAACAGAACTAGAACAGAACTAGAACAGAACTAGAACAGAACTAGAACAGAACTAGAACAGAACTAGAACAGAACTAGAACAGAACTAGAACAGAACTAGAATAGAACTAGAACAGAACTAGAACAGAACTAGAACAGAACTAGAACAGAACTAGAACAGAACTAGAACAGAACTAGAACAGAACTAGAACAGAACTAGAACAGAACTAGAACAGAACTAGAACAGAACTAGAACAGAACTAGAACAGAACTAGAACAGAACTAGAACAGAGCTAGAACAGAACTAGAACAGAACTAGAACAGAACTAGAACAGAACTAGAACAGAACTAGAACAGAACTAGAACACAACTAGAACACAACTAGAACTGAACTAGAACTGAACTAGAACAGAACTAGAACAGAACTAGAACAGAACTAGAACAGAACTAGAACAGAACTAGAACAGAACTAGAACAGAACTAGAACAGAACTACAACAGAACTAGAACAGAACTAGAACAGAACTAGAACAGAACTAGAACAGAACTAGAACAGAACTAGAACAGAACTAGAACAGAACTAGAACAGAACTAGAAGAGAACTAGAAGAGAACTAGAACAGAACTAGAACAGAACTAGAACAGAACTAGAACAGAACTAGAACAGAACTAGAACAGAACTAGAACAGAACTAGAACAGAACTAGAACAGAACTAGAATAGAACTAGAACAGAACTAGAACAGAACTAGAACAGAACTAGAACAGAACTAGAACAGAACTAGAACAGAACTAGAACAGAACTAGAACAGAACTAGAACTGAACTAGAACTGAACTAGAACTGAAATAGAACAGAACTAGAACAGAACTAGAACAGAACTAGAACAGAACTAGAACAGACTAGAACTAGAACAGACTAGAACAGAACTAGAACAGAACTAGAACAGAACTAGAACAGAACTAGAACTAGAACAGAACTAGAACAGAACTAGAACTAGAACAGAACTAGAACAGAACTAGAACAGAACTAGAACAGAACTAGAACAGAACTAGAACAGAACTAGAACAGAACTAGAACAGAACTAGAACAGAACTAGAACAGAACTAGAACAGAACTAGAACAGAACTAGAACAGAACTAGAACAGAACTAGAACAGAACTAGAACAAAACTAGAACAGAACTAGAACAAAACTAGAACAGAACTAGAACAGAACTAGAACAGAACTAGAACAAAACTAGAACAGAACTAGAAGAGAACTAGAACAGAACTAGAACAGAACTAGAAAAGAACTAGAAAAGAACTAGAACAGAACTAGAACAGAACTAGAACAGAACTAGAACAGAACTAGAACAGAACTAGAACAGAACTAGAACAGAACTAGAACAGAACTAGAACAGAACTAGAACAGAACTAGAACTAGAACAGAACTAGAACAGAACTAGAACAGAACTAGAACAGAACTAGAACAGAACTAGAACTGAACTAGAACAGAACTAGAACAGAACTAGAACAGAACAGAACTAGAAGAACAGAACTGGAACGGAACTAGAACAGAACTAGAACAGAACTAGAACAGAACTAGAACAGAACTAGAACAGAACTAGAACAGAACTAGAACAGAACTAGAACAGAACTAGAACAGAACTAGAAAAACTAGAACAGAACTAGAACAGAACTAGAACAGAACTAGAACAGAACTAGAACAGAACTAGAACAGAACTAGAACAGAACTAGAACAGAACAGAACTGGAACGGAACTAGAACAGAACTAGAACAGAACTAGAACAGAACTAGAACAGAACTAGAACAGAACTAGAACAGAACTAGAACAGAACTAGAACAGAACTAGAACAGAATTAGAACAGAACTAGAACTGAACTAGAACTGAACTAGAACTGAACTAGAACTGAACTAGAACTGAACTAGAACTGAACTAGAACTGAACTAGAACTGAACTAGAACTGAACTAGAACTGAACTAGAACTGAACTAGAACTGAACTAGAACTGAACTAGAACTGAACTAGAACTGAACTAGAACTGAACTAGAACTGAACTAGAACTGAACTAGAACTGAACTAGAACTGAACTAGAACTGAACTAGAACTGAACTAGAACTGAACTAGAACTGAACTAGAACTGAACTAGAACTGAACTAGAACTGAACTAGAACTGAACTAGAACTGAACTAGAACTGAACTAGAACTGAACTAGAACTGAACTAGAACTGAACTAGAACTGAACTAGAACTGAACTAGAACTAGAACTGAACTAGAACTGAACTAGAACTGAACTAGAACTGAACTAGAACTGAACTAGAACTGAACTAGAACTGAACTAGAACTGAACTAGAACTGAACTAGAACTGAACTAGAACTGAACTAGAACTGAACTAGAACTGAACTAGAACTGAACTAGAACTGAACTAGAACTGAACTAGAACTGAACTAGAACTGAACTAGAACTGAACTAGAACTGAACTAGAACTGAACTAGAACTGAACTAGAACTGAACTAGAACTGAACTAGAACTGAACTAGAACTGAACTAGAACTAGAACTGAACTAGAACAAAACTAGAACAAAACTAAAACAAAACTAGAACAGAACAGAACTAGAACTGAACTTAATCTATAGAGAACAAACTAGTTTTCTGTAAAAAAGAGTTACAACTTATTTACGATAAGATCAGCATAAATCACACACCCTTATTCTTAATGTTGGTATACAAATTATTAAAAATAATATACATGGCTAATAAATTGTCTTGTGACATTTTAAAACATTCGACGCCAATTAACTTTTTATAGTTCATATAAAGCTACATATTAACATTCCAAACAGAATCAAAATATCAAAAAAAAGTTCTAATATATGTAGATAAAACCAAATTAATTTGTAATTTTCATATGTGACTTTAACTGAAGCAAGATTTCTGTTTAGTGATAAAATTACAAAAAAAAAAAAAAAACATGACATTTTTGTACAATGAACTAATTGTGATTCATATTTATGCCACCTGTTGTTAATTGATCATTAAATTAACTGTAAGTGTTTAAGGTATTATGCATTCAGGTTGCTGTTGCCAAAAAGGTTCAGATTATGGTTTCACAAGGTGATTTTTTAAGACAATTTCACGATGTCTGTGTATCTGTTGGTTTAAACTTGGTAATTTACCCAAGCCCCCTTGCAGAGATTATTTCAGAATATTTGGCTTTGGGTACTAATAGGTATTAAATGAAATATAATTCCGAACTCATGAAGACCCAGGCCATTATGCGGCCTGAGAGAGAACCTACTCACCAGATAAGGCCTTCTTCTATTAAGAATCGTTTTTTTTTTTAAGTTTTATAGAAATCGGTCTATAATTAAAATGATTTCTCTTATAGCTGCTGTAGGGTATTAAACATTTCAGAATATTGGGTTCAGATAAACTGCTTGTGCGTGTTGCAGGTTAAATCAAGTCATGTTTATATGACATGGATATTAATAAAAAAGTATAACCTTGTATTTAATTAATGGGCTTTTAAAAAGTGTAAGTTTTTTTCTAAGAACTTTATAAATGTATATTAAAAAGTCGTATTTTTCATTGCATCTTTAAAGTGAAGTGGTTAATATATTTATTTAATATTTTTATAATATATAAAACTTGAAAAAATAAAAATTTAATATTGTTTAGCGAAAAACTCTTCATAGGGTAATTTCGAGAAGACATCATTAAAAATTTTCTGCATAATTGGTGTAAGACTATTAAAAAGTGAATTATGAATTTCATTAAAAATGTCCAACCAATTTTCATTAATGAAAACATTAACATTATTGGTCAAAACTTTATCGCCATTGAATAAATTACCGAAATTGAAAACGACCTTTTTCGGTGTAAGAGAGCCGGTTATATTTTCGATTTTCATATAAGTGCGACCATTCTTGACATAAGGAGAGCCAGAGAATTGTATAGCAAGGGTAACATCATCTGAAAGGGATTAATTTTACATAAATATATCGTGTTTAAGACCAAAAATGTATTCTTTATTTAAACTTACTCAATGTTATATCATGTTTTCCAATACCTTCTACTGGCAGTACTATCACCTGACCTTTCACATTATAATCGCCTGTCATATGAATTACAGGTATTTGCAATTTTATTTCATGTTTTTTACTCAAGTCCCTTTCGAAGCCACTGTAGGAATATAAAAAAATTTAAAACCAATCACAAACCTTTCTAAAAACCAAATCCCTACCTTACGCCTATGGCCTTAGCATCTTTCAGACCACTTAGTAAATTATTTTTCATAATCAAGTCTATATTAACGGGACTATTAGGGCCTGGCTGTATGTTCAACAAAGGCACACTCAAAGGATCAAGTTTTGGCAAATTAATAAAACCATCACCTAAAAATATATCATATTCCCAACAATATAACATTTTATTTAAAAAATCTAATCACTTACCTGCATATTTGGAATTTAAGAAAAAGTTAATACGTTCTTGTATACAACTGGTATCCTTATAACGGCAGGGTCTAGGATTTACAGCTAAAACGAAAACTATATTATTATGTATTTCAAAATTATTTACTTCAATTAACTTACGAAAATTTCCCTTAGCCTTAGCTATTATAACGAATAAAATTGTAAGGATTTTAAAAAATAGTTTTCTTTTAAACATTTTGTATAAAATGCAAATTTAGCCGTTTGTTTCTGAATTTGAAATTACAACTGATATCTGTTTTAGTTTTAGCTTCGTTTTTATATTAGCGAAATCTAATTGTAACTGAAATAGGAAGATCATAACTTATTTTAAATATGAGATTTATAATTATGAAATGTTCATAAATATTGCATTCAAAAAGTAATAATAATATAATAATATAAATTAAACTGTGTAGTTGTTTTACATCAGTCTAGTAATATTCATACTTTGTAAAAAAACAATCTCAGAAATTCCATACAATAGTCTTGTCTGTAATCGATAGTCTAGTCTATAGTCTAGTCTATAGTCTAGTCTATAGTCTAGTCTATAGTCTAGTCTATAGTCTAGTCTATAGTCTAGTCTATAGTCTAGTCTATAGTCTAGTCTATAGTCTAGTCTATAGTCTAGTCTATAGTCTAGTCTATAGTCTAGTCTATAGTCTAGTCTATAGTCTAGTCTATAGTCTAGTCTATAGTCTAGTCTATAGTCTAGTCTATAGTCTAGTCTAGTCAACAGGAAGAGCCGCAGTATGGGCTTGTGGAAACAAGGCCATAGAAGTGGGTATGAAGGAGCAGCATGAAGGTTTTGCAAGAGCAAAAATAGGTGGTGTATACGTATACAGCTGTTATGCGTCACCAAATATACCGATACTAGACTTCGAACGATTTGTGGACGATCTTGTAAGAGATGTATCAGGTCACAACCCAGTTATCATCGGAGGCGATTTTAATGCCTGGACTATAGATTGGGGGAGTCAGAGAACTAATGAAAGGGGAAGAATACTGCTTGACGCCTTTTCTCAACTCGACCTAATTCTCTTGAATAAGGGTAATTCGTATACATTCAGAAGGACCGGCTATGGCTCGATTGTTGACCTAACATTCGTAAGTGCATACCTATCAAGAGATGTAGAATGGCAGGTTAGCGAGCACTATACGTATAGCGACCACCAGGCAATAATACTCACTGTACATACCGGAAGTCATACGGTGTCAAAAAGCACTAAGGTAAAAATTCAAGGGTGGTCTAAAGACAAAATCGATATGGAGTGTTTCACCGAAACTTTCTCCAATTACAACATAATAGAAGGCACAGCAACGGAAATGTGTAGGCAGCTATAGTCTAGTCTATAGTCAAGTCTATAGTCTAGTCTATAGTCTAGTCTATAGCCTAGTCTATAGTCTAGTCTATAGTCTCGTCTATAGTCTAGTCTATAGTCTAGTCTATAGTCTAGTCTATAGTCTCGTCTATAGTCTAGTCTATAGTCTAGTCTATAGTCTAGTCTATAGTCTAGTCTATAGTCTGGTCTCTAGTCTAGTCTATAGTCTCGTCTATAGTCTAGTCTATAGCCTAGTCTACAGTCTAGTCTATAGTCTAGTCTATAGTCTCGTCTATAGTCTAGTCTATAGTCTAGTCTATAGTCTCGTCTATAGTCTAGTCCATAGTCTAGTCTATAGTCTGGTTTATAGTCTAAAGGGAAATTAATTTTGTACTTCAAGACCTAAAAGGTAATATATTTTAGTCGAGACTACAGTTTTGTCTATAGTCTAGACTATAGTTTAGTCAATAGTCGTCACTATAGTTAATCTATAGTCATTTATATGGTTTATAGTCGAGACTATAGTTTTGTCTATAGTCGAGTCTATAGTTTTGTCTATAGTCGAGACTATAGTTTTGTCTATAGTCGAGACTATAGTTTTGTCTATAGTCGAGACTATAGTTTTATCTATAGTCGAGACTATAGTTTTATCTATAGTCGAGACTATAGTTTTGTGTATAGTCTAGACTATAGTTTAGTCAGTAGTCGTAACTATAGTTAATCTATAGTCATTAATATAGTTTATAGTCGTGACTATAGTCTATTCTATAGTCGAGACTATAGTTTTGTCTATAGCCGAGACTATAGTATTGTCCATATTCTGTGATCGAGGTTTTATATATAGTAAAGACTATAGTATTGCTTAAAGTCGAGTTTAAAGTCTTGTGGATTATATTTTTTAATATTTTCTAAATGGCATCACCCATATTACCCTTCGATACCCTAAAACAGATTAATTCTAAAATCAAGTTGTCGTATAAAAGCAATAATTCCAATAAGAACTGTAATAAAAATAATCAATTAATATGAAAATGAATTTGAAAATAAGACGATCATTAATTGAATAAATCAAAGCAAATACAAACTAGGTAGCAGCAAGCAACAATATCTGGTTGTAGGAATTGTACGTCATGGAAAAAAGTAAATAAATTTTTTAAAATGCTGATTTTGAATATTATTTATATTTGAATTTTTATTTTTATATGTATTTTACTCAAATGTTATAATATTAATATGTAGTTACTTTATTCAATAAAATATTTATCATAAGGATATTTACTGAAAACGTCATTAATAACATCCTTAAAAATATCACCAAATGCCTTGCATATCGAAACACGTACTTCGGCATAAATTTCTTGCCAATTTTCGTTTAAAAACAAATTCATATTATCACCCAAAGCTTTATCGCCATTAAATAGATTTTCCACCTTATATATCATGCCCTTGGGTTCAGCATTCGAATTCATTTCCTCAATATACATATATGTGGCACCATCTTTTTCCATCGGTGTTCCCACAAAATTCATAAAAATTTCAACATCAACTGCAAAGATAAGTAAATGCTTGAATGCTTGAAAATGTTCATCATGAAGTGAAATTTACCCATTGTTATATTTGATTTACCCGTACCCTTAATGGGTAATATCAAAATTTTACCATCAATATCATAATCACCAACTACGCTCATATAATCGGAATGTAACATAATGCTATGTTTACCAGTTAAATTTTTGCCGAAGCCCCTGTTAATAAATTTTAGTGTTTAGTAAAACAATAAAATTTTTGAACAAATTTTTTATAAATTTTACTTGATTTTAATTGCCTTGAGCTTTTCAAATCCATACATAAGGTTATTTTTCAATACCAAATCCAAACTAACAGGACTTTCTTTACCCTGATGTATATTAACAGTAGTAGCTTTCAATGGATTAAGTGATTGCAAATTTATTGAGTCATCGCCTGCGATAAATAAAAGTAAAAAGAGAAAGATCTAAAGTCATTACCCAGTTACTGTTTGAATTCGGTAATTTTTTGATTTCGAATTTCATACAAATATCACAGATTTATAGATTTACTTGTTTTAGGATAAACACTCACCATCTAATTTATCCTTAAATAATGAATTAATTATTTCTATAATACATTCCGAATCCTCATATTTACAAGGTTTAGGATCATCAGCTTAAGGACGAAATATAGAATTAAAAAAAAAAAAATTAACACTTAATACACCATTTCCCCGAATCCTTAGCGCAACTTACGAAAATCCGCTTTAATACTCGAACACAATGAAATTACTAGAATCGTTATTATTTTCAAAAACATTTTGAAATTAAAGCAAATTGACCGATCGCGTTTCCGTTTGTAAAAAACTAATCTTATTTGTTGAAGATGATCTACTTTTATATACTAAAAATTAAATACTTCTGTCAATTAATTGACATATGCTTGACACTAACATGTTGTAATTAATATTAAATGAAATAATTAACTAAATACAATATTCAATCATTATTGATAGAATAATGTAAAAAAGTTAAAAACTAATAATATGATTAAGACAATAAATAGTTAGTTGGTTATAATTTTAATAGTTCGTTGAAATTTTATTTAGTCGAAACTGTAATCTTGTCTATAGTCAAGACTATAATTTTGTCCATAATCGAGACTATAGTATTGTCTATAGACGAGACTATAATCTTGTCGTGACTATAGTCTTGTCTATAGTCAAGTTTATATTCCAGGCTTTAATCATGTCTTTAGTCGAGACTGTAATCTTGTCTTTAGTTGAGTTTATATTCTAGTCTATAGTCGTATCTATAGTTTTGTCTATAGTCAAGTTTATAGTTCAGGCTTTAATCTTGCCTATAGTCGAAACTGTAATCTTGACTATAGTCGAGACTGTAATCTTGTCTATAGTCAAGTTCTTGTCCATAGTAGTGACTGTAGTATTATTGTCTTTAGTCGAGATTATAGACTTATCTATAGTCGAGACTATAATCTGCTCTATAGTCGAGTTTATTGTCTTATCTATAGTCCTGGACTATATTCTTGTCTAAAAGATAGACTGTAATCTTGTCTATAGTCGAGTTTATAGTGTTATCTATACTCGAGACTACAATCTTGTCTGTAGTTGAGACTGTAATCTTGTCTGTAGTTCAGACTGTAATCTTGTC